TTCCATTTTAATCTTTTGCTCCTCTCTGGAGGTGGAGTATTGTAAGAAGGCCAGAACTTGCAAAAACAGACATCTGTATTATAGACCTTGCTGGTAATATTTGTTTAAGTTGCCTGACTCTTTTCATTATCAGATTTTGTTTTCTGTTGATTGCAGCTGTGTTTAACCATAAGTATTTGGAATGAAATCTTAATGTCACATGTGTCTGTCCACCTAATTCCTTTTAGAAAATTGTAGGGGAAATAGTTCTGCTGCTTCCAAAAATTAAGGGACTATACAAAAAAACCCGCTAACATTATTTTGTTAATATTAAAATTTCAAGTAAGTGTTCTCAGCATGACCTTGATGCGAAGGGCTGATTTGTGTATCTTTAGGGCAGATATTTCCTGCAATACAGCACGAAGGGAAGGAAGGAACTTATTTTCTGCGGATGAGGTAGCCAGCATTGAGTTCCACAGCATGCTTACAGTAATCTATCAATTCACACATTCAAATCTAAGATTTCATTGAGTCATACTGTAGGTGTATTTAAAACTCTGAAATTCATGTCACCAGTCCTGCAGTGAGTATCAAGATGAGTAGTCAGTGATTGTCCATTAAAAAGCTCGTGTGAGATCTTTTGCCAAACACAATGTGAGAATTCTGCCACAGAAAGGAGAATTTAAATCAATCATAAATGTGTTATTGTGTAACTCTCAAGTTTTCATTTCTGCAGCATGAGAATTTTTTGAAGTGACTTACCAGTGCGTAATATTGTTGTATTTTTAATGCTATGAGGTGCAAATGACCTGAATTTCTTTCTCTACACTTTCTGTTGACTGTATGTATTGTTTTGCCTAATTGGAAGTAATTTTTAATTCAAATACATGCAAAAAATCTGGATACTTAGACTGTATTTCTGAAAAAGGAGGAATTAGTTAATCATCCCATACTTTGGTACAGGCAGAGAATTGACTGGTTGAGCATCAGGATTGCTGGAAAGGACCTAAAGGTGGGCATGAGGCTTCATATAACTGAACAGCATTCTTCTATTGGGAATAAAGCGAACCATAGTTTGGACTACGTTAGTAAAACTGCAGCTGGAAGATCAGGGGAAAATAATTTCCCCCCTTTCTTGGTGGTGCTGCATCTGGTGTGCTGTGTCATGTTTAGGTGGGGTCTTCCACCCTCACTTTTTCAAGAGACATGGAGAAATCAGAGAGAGTCTAGCAGGGAGCTAGTGTATGTTCAGGGGCCTAGAAAACAAGACCTTTGAGGAGATTTTCAAGGAGCTATGTTTGTAGAGTCTGGCAAAGAGGAGACCAAGGAGTGATCGAGACTGCCCTGCAGGCCCAAGGAGCACAGCTGGTTGGTCGATAAGAAGAGCTTCCTAAAAGGCCAAGAACAGTCCATTCTGATGTGCAGCAGGTTGATCAAGCATGGCAGGAGGCCAGCATGGATGAAGAAGGAGCTCCTGACTGAGCTCAGACACAAAAATTAAGAGTGGAAGAAGGGGTGAGCTAAACGGCAGGAATATAGAAATGTTGCCTCAATATGCAGTGATAGAGATAGGAAACCAGAAACTCATTTCACATTGAAGCTAATGAGGGATTTGATGAGCAGCATGAAGGGCTTCTGTTAAATGCATCTGTAGCAAAAACAAGCCTGAAGAAAAAATTGACCCACTGCTTAATAGAGTGGGAGACGTGGAAAAGGCCAAGAGTACCCAATGCCTTTTTTACATTGGTTTTCACTAGTAAAGGTTGCCCTAAGGCCTCACAGGTACTTGAGCCTCCTAGCAGAGTGTGTGAGAATGAGCCATTACCCACTGAAGTGGAAGAAAGTGTTAAGGAGCACTTAAGCTAGTTGGACATTTGCAAGATACCAAGCAGTATTCATCCAGGCGTGCTGAGGGAGCTGCCTGTTGTCACTGCCAGGCTGCCCTCTGTCATTAGCAAAAGATCATGATGCCTAGCAGAGGTGTCTGGTGATGGAAAATGGGGAAATATCACATTCATCTTTAAGAAAGATCCAGGGAGCTGCAGGCCAGTCACCCTCACCTCTATCCCTGAAAAAATTACGTAGGAAATCATCGAAGGCATTTCTAAACATATGAAGGACCAGAAGGTGACTGGGAACAGCTAGTATGGATTCATCAAGGACAAATCATGCCTGACCAACCTGATTGGTTACTCTGATAAGATGATTGACTCTGTGCGTTAGGGGAGAGCAGTGGATGTTGTACACCTTGACTTCAGCCAGGCTTTTGGCACCGTCTGCAGTCATGTCTTTGTAGTCAAATCTGTGAGATATGGACTGGATAAATGGACAGTAAGATGAGTGGAAAATTGGTTGGGTTGTTGGGCTCTGGTGGAATAACTGCTATGCAGTCAAACTGCTGCCTAGTAACTAGTGTCATCCCCCAGGAGGTGATACTGGGGCTAGTATTATTTAGTGTCTTATTAATAACGTGGGTGATGGGATTCTCAGCAAGTTCACGGGTGTTATCAAATGTAGGGAAGTAGTCAGTGCACTGGAAGGTAGGGCAAGGATAATATTCAGTGGGACTTCAATATTCTGGAGAAATGAGCTAATGCAGAGCTCAATAAGTTAAACAAAGGCAGACATGAGGTCCTGCATCTGAGAAGGAATAGCCTCATGCGACGGTAGAGGGTAGGTGCCAAATTGCTAGAAAGCAACTCTACAGAAAAACAGTTTGGGGATCCTGATGGGTGCCTTTTTGGTGGAGAAGGCCGGCTGCCTCTTGAGCTGCCTTAGCAACAACATGGCCATCAGGTCAGGAGGAGTGATTTTTTGGCACTTTTAAGACCGCATCTGGACTTCTGTGTCCAGTGTGGGGCTTCCTAGGAGAGGAGAGCAAGCAGCTCACTTGGGCAAAACCAGTGGAGGCCCACTAAGATGTCTGGTGGTTTGGAGCCCATGATATATGAGGGGAGGCTGAGATAGCTAGGCTTGTTCAGCCTTAAGATGAGGTGTTTTGGAAAGGGGGAGAGTGGTGTGCAGACCCATTGCTGTCTGCAGGTACTGTGAGGGTGTGGAGAAGGCAGAGCCAGACTCTTGTCAGAGGTGTGCAGTGAAAGGACAAGAGGCAATGGATGCAAGCTACAACCAGGGAAATTTTTACTCTGTGTAAGAATAATCTTTATATAATGAATTGAGAATTGAGTAAAGACAGGATATGCAGTTTCACAAATGGGAAGGCTAAATGAAGAAGACACTTTGTTTCTAGAAATTTGTCAAAAGTGGATAGGCATTAGCTGTGTTGTATATCCAATAGCTGGGGAAGAATGGGAATCATAGAATCATAGAACAACCCAGGGTGGAAGGAGCAGAACAGAAGTTGCATACATTGAGAAATAATTTCAGTAATTAACCACTGATTTTTAGGCAAGGACATATGGAAGGTTATATCACAAGATCCAGTTTTGCATGCTTGGTCTTGGCCATGCTTCTAAAACTGACCCCTAAGCTGTTGATTGAATCAGCCACCCCAACCAAAAGAAAACAAACAAAAAGCAGCAACTGTAGGTGGTTGATTAAAAGTCCCGAACTATTTGATAATTTATACACCTGGACATCTCCCAAGCTTTGAATTTAATACCCAGATGTGTCATGCAGGCTATATCCCTTGAAAGATTTGACAAAATGCTGCCAGTAATTTTGCAAGTCATAGCCTGCTGTTCTAGTTAACCTTACGTAAACCTTAGACATCTATATAAAGAAATTACACTCTTTGAAGGGTGAAAGAATGCGTAGAGATTGCTCATTCTAATTTTTTGAAAGTAATTAAGAAAATACGATATGCTTCACTTTGGAAATTTTCTAATCTCTTAATCTTCACACCTGTAAAAAATATATATACATTGTACTGAGGCAGTGAGACTAAATTCTAGAGACTGGCAAAGATACGCAAAGCGTCTCCTCCTAGATGATTTGAGGGAGAAAGAACTGCTTGGGTGGTTTTGTTGTTGTTGTTGTTTTTATTAGGTAGTTTTTATACTACAACTATAGAACTTTGGCTGTATGTCTCACAAAACATAAAACTATATATTAATAAAGATCTAAAACAGGTGTTATTCTTGTTATAATACAGCCAGGCTACAGGCTGTTTGATGAAGACATTAACATGGTAAGATTCTGCATAAAGATCTTTTTCTGAGCGAAATGTTATCAAATTGGACCTTGAAAGAGCATTGTAACAGGTCTTTTTATTGAAAGATCATCAAATAAAGGATTCAATCTGCTGAAATAAGCTGAGCTTGAATTAGTATTTCAAAAGTCACTCCTGTTTTTTTCTAATATTTGGGTAATTGGATGTGGTTTTTAAAGGAATGAGTTTTCTTTTAGTAAATCGTATCTGTATATTTTTTCTCAATATTTCTGCGTTTTGGAGGCCTTCACAGCTGACTAGTCATATTTAAAAATGAAAAAGAAGGTATCAATGGGAATAACTGTATTAAAACTGGTTCTGTAGAAGAATAGCAGGACTATAATAAGTGAGTGTAACAACAAGGAGTATTTCAGAATTTTTAAATCCAAGAAGATCCCTTATGCTGAATGGAAAAATGATTGACTACTTTTAATCAACAAAATTGTAGGAAGCCGTGTCATTTTTTTGTAGAGGTTTCATGCCTTTTTGAATGAGAGTATCCAAATTATTTATTCTGTTTTAATCCCATAATAAAAATTCAGTGCAATAAAGCTATCTTAAATAATGCAATTATTTGAAGAATGTTTGTTCAAGATTTTTGTTTAATTGTTTTGTGTTCCAGGGTGAACGTGGCTTTGCCGGTAGTAAAGGTGAAGAAGGTGAAAAGGTAAATTATTCTGCCTATGTTATTTATTTTTTCTGTTTAACTATTTGATATATGGCCAACCAAATAGACCTTTGTTCTAAAGGTCTCCGTGAACTCTTTCATTGATTAATTTCTTATTTTTGCTATGTAAATGATTCCTGAAATGCTGAAGAACAAGGAGGTTTTTATGCGTGTTAATTGGTGCCGTCAGTTCTTCTATTAGAACCACTTTTTTTTCTCTTTTAAGAAAAGGTTTAATAATGAAATCTAACAGAATCATAACAACTGGACTCCAGTAGTGTCTACTGCTACCTTATTTCTATGGTAACTAGTAAAGGTTTATTTATACAGAATGAAATGCATGATGAGATGATGTGTAGGTATTTATAGTACTTAATTATTACATTTGTACATTACAGATGCACTTTTATAGAATCTTACTGTGTTGATCACAACTACTGAAGGTTTTACACACTTTTTTCCTAAGAACACAAATTTACTGCAATAGCAAAATTTAATATTTGCTACAGCATAGCTGACTGCTAATTTAAAAAGGTTAGTTTTAATTGATATACTTCTGTGTACCTACACAGTAGTTAACATGAGTTTTGTGTCCTGCACGTATCTGGCTCCAAGTGATTTGACGTGACTGCCAGTGGCCAAGCAGAATGCAGGTGCATTTCGCTCTTCCTCAGACCAGAAGTTCAACCCCTTTGCCTGATGGACTGGCATGTTGTCCTATGGACCTGCTTAGTCTCCCAACAGTCATAAAATGGTTCCAAGCGTAAATTCCAGGAGAAGCCTTTCCTTGTTCTTCACTAGCGGGTACTGGAAATGGAGCTTAAAGCAGTTTGCCCTAGTTACAGATGCTCTGCAATGGCCAGAAAAAGTTCAAAAGCTTGTGGATTAAAATGGTAACTAAACTGGTCCTCCGGAAAGCTGTGTTGGCTGACGGAATGCCAGCCTGGGTCAGTCTAGATGATGCAACCTAATCTTCTTGTGTGGCTTCAGACAAGTAGGTCTTCACAGGTCATCAAAGGCAAGTCTGTGTTGAGGGGCAAGAAGGAGGTAAAGCCCGTTCTTAGCTTGCTTAATAGGAACTAAAGTAATGATGGTGATAGTTTACACTTGAAACTCCAGCTCCTAACCAAGTTACTGCCCAGTCACTGCTTTTTCACTAGTTTTGACTGAGGTGGATTAGGCAACCTGAATGAAGAGTCTTTTCTTGGATCATAGAAGGTGCAGAAGAGCATTTCTGCTGAATTTATAACCAGATGCTGTGATTCTGGCAATATTCAGACTGAAGAAAATGGAGAGTAGGTGGCAGCTTCTGAATTTGAAAAAGTGCGATATATTTGTGAGTTAGGCAGCTTTGGCCATGGGTGTATTCACTTACCCACCGTACCACTTTCAAAGTGTCAGCCGGCTTTCCAGTGTTGATATTTTAAAGAAAGCATGTTATGGATTAGCAGAATTTAAGCTGTTTTAAAATTATGGAGAGTTTTTTAGGAGGAAATATTCCAGTAATCAGGAAGGAAGAAATATCAAAAGTAAAAACAAGCATCCGTAGCAACTAACATTTATAATGCGAAGATTCATTCTCTAAAAAAAGCACTTGTTAAGCTTGAGTGTTTCTAACTCCACTGATGGATTTTAATTCCTTGGTGGCAACGTTATTCATCAGTTCTGAAGGGGTTGTGGGTTTATTCTTTTTTTTTTTTTTTTCTCTCCTAATTGCTCTGCAGCTGTGGTGTGCTTTCCTCAAGTCTTATGAATAAATTGTGTTTGGACACAGGCACGTGGTTCCAGCTGTTGCTGCCACTCTCTTTGCTTGATTTCCCTTATTTTAAGGCAGAGGTAAAATGACCCAACCGTTGATAGCCACATTTTTCATATCTGGAAGCTGAATCAGCACATTTAGACTTTTTTTTCTTTTTGTCTTGTAACTTCAGAAGTTAATGACAACATTCTGTGTAAAAGTATTTTCCAGTGTGACTATTAATAGTGTAGTCCACTGTCCTTCAAATAAAAGGAAATAACAAGTGGAAGGATCTTTACTTACCAGTGATCGCTCAAAAATAATTTGGAACAGTCTCATCAGAAGCTATGCATCGTGATTTGTGAGGGTTTTTTAAGATGATGGGAAGTAGGTCTCAGCCTGGGTTTTAGCAGTTACTCAGTTTAGCCTTAATTCAAATAATTATTGAAGAACAACAACACTGTTTCCAGTAACTGAACCCCATGTTAAAAATGTATCAACACCTTTTCATTTTAATATAGAGTCACAAGATAAAATAGTTTTTACTAATTAATTTATGTCTAACAAACATGATTAAAAAGCCTGGAACTTAGAGTTTTATTTTTCCTAATACAAAAAACTCTGCCCTGTCTTGCATATTAGGGAACAAGATAGCATTTGCACACAGTTTTGTCTATCACCTACAGTGGGACACAGCTACCTAAACATGAGGTATTTACTGTTTCACACTTTTTGCAGAACAATCCCGTACTTTAGTTTTGGTGACCAATCCATAGAAATGAATGCTTGAAACCAATTCAGCCTTATCCCTCATTTCACCAAATCAAAATAGTTGACTTTGGCTTCTATTCTACTCTGTTCTGCTTTGGCAGAGCAAGCTCTGGGAACATCAGGGAGACGCAGGCAATTGAGGCAAAAGTGATTGATTGTAAGTAAACTAAAGATACAGGAGGCACCTCTAATTTAAGCTGTTGAGGGAGATTATTTTAGGCTGTTTAAAAGTTTCTTTGCCACACTGGAGGAATCCAGAAGTATTGTTCCACCTTCCTTCTGGTTTTTTGATCTCAGATTGAACTTGGTTCTCACAGAGGACAGCAGTGGTAAGGGAAACTACAGAACTGCGTGTGCAGGTGCTATGCTGCAATTTTTCCCTCCATGGGAAGTATACTGTCAGTGTAAACGGGTTTTAATTCTCTGTGGTATTCTGCTTTCTTTGTAATACTTAGATAATGACATTGTCTTATATGATAGTCTTATAGGGGGAGGTGCTGAGCTCTTCTCCCTGGTATCCAGTGATAGGACACATGGGAGTGGTTCAAAGCTGCGCCAGGGGAGGTTTAGACTAGACATTAGGAAGCATTTCTTTACTGAGAGGGTGCTCAAACACTGGAACAGGCTTCCTAGGGAGGCAGTCGATGCCCAGAGCCTGGCAGCATTTAAAAGACATTTGGACAATGCATGCTTTAACTTTTGGTGAGCCCTGAAGTGGTCAAGCAGTTGGACTAGATGATCATTGTAGGTCCCTTCCAACTGAAATAGTCTAACTCAGAGAGGCAAGTAAGGTATGCTATTATATAGACTAAATCGCAGCACTAGTTGGTATCTCAGAAGGGTAAAATCCCTCCAGCTATAAGTGAAGACCAGGTTCGGGACCTCCTGCAGAACCTAAATGTACAGAAGTCCATGGGACCTGATGAGATGCATCCCAGAGTCCTGAGGGAACTGGCTGACGTAGTTGCCAAGTCACTCTCCATGATATTTGAAAAGTCATGGCAGTCAGGGGAAGTTCCCAGTGACTGGAAAAAGGGAAACATTGTGCCCCTTTTCAAAAAGGGT